TTCATAGCGGCGGTAGTATCTTCCCTGATGGGACCCACGGCTCGATTGCCTCCCTATGCTATAAAAAGAACCGTTCTATATAGTCACTTTTTTTTATTATTTGCCTCGAAGAGCACGTTCAGCCGTTGGTCCCGGTTGCCATACGAACATCAGTGGTAATCGGTACCGATAATTGGAGCCCTAAAAAGTGCGGCATCGGTCTTTCTACAGAACTTCAATGTCGCCTAGTACTTGGCTTGTGGAGGTCTGGTGGCAAAAAAAGATATGGATGTTACACAAACTTCAAAATGTATAACTCGTTAAAATACACATTAGAATGAAAAAATTAAACATGAACCATACAAATACATAAATTTACTAAAACTGTACCTTTTGGTTTATTTACAAGCACAAGTACTTTCGTCATAAAAATCACCGATCGTTACCTACTGGTGGCGTTTCCAGGAGTCCGTTGTTAAGTTTCATCACCAACAGCCTATAATAGTCCACTACTGATCATAGGCCTCTCCTTAGAAAGGAGGTTTTGGCCTACTATATCACGCTGGCCAGACGGGTTGGTACGGGGTTTGTTTCAAGTTTTCCATCTCTTTGTAGTGCTGTTGTCCTGCGTAGTTTGCTCCCTTAGTCGGCTGTTACGACACCCACGGGATTAATAGGGGTGGTGACATTCCGTATTCTTAATCCGTCACCACACGGAACTGTAGAGAAAATATTTAGGTACCAGAGTACCTTTGGTACCTAAATATTTTCTCTACAGTTTTACTGATTAAACCGATAGATTAATTATAATTAGTTAATTATTGACTTTCATCGTCGACTGTACCAACTCATGCGCATCGTTATTTTTGGTAGTTTTTAAATACTTCATATGAGTGTTTCAGTCTAGTAGAATGCGGATATAATGCTATAACCTTGAATTTAGTTAAATATAATTATTACATTCATGAATAGAAATATCCTATTACTCATATTATACCCGTCTCTAATACTAAAAGAAAACGATTACCAATGTATAACAAATGTTTGATTTGAACCCGCAACCTTTGGAATAGCAGTCGGTTACACTCATTCTAAGTTGTTCTGTATCTGCTTGTAACGTATCCATAATATATAGCGATACCCTACCACGCTGCGCTGTAGCACATTATGGTTGAATTGATGAGAAACTAAGAACAAAAATGCCGCAAAATGTTCGTCGAGGTACAAAACAGTAACCACAGTAAAAAAGCGTGTTAATATCAAGGGTAGACAAAAAGATTCATCTTACATGAAGGGCAAGTATTAACAATATAATAAAATTGTTGTTATCCATGTGGTGACGGATTAAGAATACAGAGTATCACCACCCCTATTCATCCCATGGGTGTCGTAAAAGCCGACTAAATGAGTAAACTACGCAGGAGAACAGCACTGCAAAGAGAAGGAAAACTTGAAATAAACCCTATACCAACCCGTCTGGCCAGTGTGGTATAGTAGGCCAAAACCTCCTTTCTAAGGAGAGTCCTATGTCCAACAGTTGACTAATAAAAGCTGTTGATGCTGATGATAGTAAAATATATATATGTATATATACTATAAAAAGATTAATGTTAATGTTTATTTTGAAAATTACCCACAAAACAATATGAAATATTCCAATCTTTGTTACTACATCCACTAGCTACGATAGCGCCGCCTATCTAGATAGTTTTGCAGATACCCACTGTTTATTTTACGGGCCTGTTGGTCCAGCAGCTAGTGATTCTGATTGCTGAGCCAGATCTTGTCGGTTCGATTTCTGAAAAGGACAAATCAATTTGTTATGAGCACGATCATAACTTCATGTTTGGGCATAATTTATTTGCAATATGTATCTATTTTGTAGCATTTAAGTGTGTTTATAAAGAGTACGTTTCCCATGACACTCGACCTAGCTTGGGATCATAACTATAATCAATGTAAACACCAGTAAATTTGATAAAATATTCAAGTTCATCCGATGGTAGTGTCCTAGTGTGTGGGGTAGCCTAAGTCAAATGACTTTATATAATAATTTAAATAATAATAATAATAAAATTATTATTATTGTTTAAATATGGCACTCTTTACCTCAAAAATATTAATCAGCATTTCCTTTTATTTTCTTAGTGATTAAAAACTGACTAGGACAGTAGAGAAAAAGCCGTAAGAGATGTGGGCGATGCAGCATCGTCCGCGCATCTCTAGGTGCTTGAAATATGAAATGGCAAATTTGCTGTAAATTATGTAGACATAACATAACCACAATTTTTTTTCGGGTTCATTATCTTCCAGTAGTCAACTTTGTAAATAATTAATTATAACTCAAGAACGGGAACTTACCTTTATCTTAGTCACAGGCTGCTGTTTTTTGCAATTTAATCGAAACGTCAGGCAATTCAATAATGTGTAATACCTATTAATAGCGTCAATTACAGTTTCCTTTATTAGTATTTATTTATTATCAAATGAGAAAGTTTTAAAGATAAAATTTTCCAATAACATTGCGGAAAGAAGTGTTTAAAATTAAGTAGTTAATAATATAATGGTCAGAACTAATTGTCTTCTTTTTACTACCTAAATTGCAAGTATTAACCTCTGCTGTTAAACTGTTAACATAATGATTTAACAGTTTTAACAATAAAATATTCATATTCCCTTAATCTACGTTTTTTACTGTAAAAAAAAGTAAATTATTGTCAGCTGTATTATAAAAAAATTATCTATTCCTAAATCATCAAGATTTATTCGTACAAAAATACAAGTTGGTTATCGCAGTTTGTCAATAAAGTAATATTTTTTTGGTTACCTATACATATGGTTTAATAACCCGCAACCTTGTTCAAATCTGCAAAGTTTATTTACCTAGATGAAAAAAAAAACAGAGTCCCATCAATAATATTAACGTGTAAAAGACGGGGGATAGCAGAACTTATATTTTTTAGGATACTCGTAAGACTTACGCGACTTATAAGTTACACTTAGGTCTTAAGCACGACTGAGTCCACGAATGTCGATCCTACCCATTAATGTAACACCGTGGATATATGAGAGTAGTAAATTCTACTGGACATTGGTGCTAATTTTGTTGTTCTAAAACTCTCTAAACTAAACTAAAAATCACTAAAAAAATTGTAGTCCTGTCAAATTCTACGTTTTCAGAATAGGAAACGTTGTTTGACAGAAATAAACAAATTTTTAGTGATTTTTAGGCAGCATCATCACATCAACAGCCTTTAATTCACTTAATCCACTGCTGGACATAGGCCTCTCCTTAGAAAGGAGGTTTTGGCATACTATACCACGCTGGCCAGACGGGTTGGTATAGGGTTTGTGTCAAGTTTTCCTTCTCTTTGCTGTTGTCCTGCGTAGTTTGTTTCCTTAGTCGACTTCTACGACACCCAAGATGAATAGGGTTGGTGAATTTCCGTATTCTTAATTCGGCACCACTCGGATTAGAGGCAGCGAAAATTTTGTGGTGATGAAATCTTACGTACGTAACTCTCTTTTATTCATGAACTTCCCTATACCTGTTACACTACAAATTCTGATACTCTTTTACGTTTCTGTACATTTTATTACCATGGTACCTATTCATAGTTGGCCCATAGATTAGTGATCGTAATCGCTAAGGCAATGGATGCAGGCCGCAATCAACCGTCCCCGCTGGAAATCATTGGGAGAGGCCTATGTCCAGCAATGGACAAGCATAGGCTGAGGTAGAAAAATAGATAGAATCGCTAAGGCAGAGGGCGGGGGTTCGGTTTTCACACAGAAAACCTAAAAACATTGAGGATGCATTTATCTATAATATGTATTATAAATACAAAGGTATGTTTATCAGCAGTCTGATTACAGTGGTACATGATTTGACTAGTTAGGTCAAATAACTGTGTGGTGAGACGTGTCAATATATTATTATATTATAATATATATACTATAAGATTAGTATATTTTGATAATGACGTCAAATAGTATGAACTCACTACGGTTCAAAACACGAATCAGTTTAAACGTTTGCACCGTTTCTCTAGGAATTATTTTACTTACTTTCAGTTCATTTGTGTATATAAAAAAGTATGCACCGCCATTTCAGCTAGTAGTACCTACGGTTTTATCTCGTTTTTTTACACTTTATTTGTTGAAGGCGATAAAGATAAAGATAAGTGGTAGTCGACGCTTTTATCGCAAGCTATCGCGCGAAAACTACTCGCTTCAGGAAGTTAAGCATTATAATACTGATTCCAATGTTATTATTCTATCGTAATTATTTCATGTTTATTAAAACGCATTAAAAACATTACCTTTAAGTCCATATGTATTTATCTAGCCTTAAATGGTTACGTTTGAATGGAAGTGGGAAGCGAAGTAAGATCTCATAGTCCGATGTAATTCCTGTATGTTTCTATTTCAGAATAAGTACGTATATACATATGAGAAGTAAGCACTTATAAAATAAAAAGTTTTTCGGCAAGGTTGAGTTTTAAATGTTTATGTAAAGTATATAAACATTTATAGCAAAACATAACTAACGTAGATACTTAATAAATTCTCTTAAAACTACCCTTTTGGATATAAATCAATTGTAAATTACATAAATTATCCACTCAATCACTTTATAAACTACGAGTCATTTAATTAAAATTAAGTTATCAGACTTATTAACACGTTACGAAAGTTTTCAATGTTGTGAATATTAACCATTTAACTGAAGTAAGTTAACTTTACAAACATTGTGTTCATTAATCAAAAGTTTGGCGCAGCGCCTGATATCCTCCATCTCCGCCTCCGCCCACCCTGCCTCTCAGGCAGACATATCTACGCATAATCTAAACATAGTAGTGAAATATATATTTTCTTGTTTTGGGTCTTTCATATTACTCTTCTAGTAATTGGCAACACATTGCTTCGAAAGGTCAATATTTGACAAATGGCTGATCTGTCACTTGCCTGCGGAATAAACACCACGGACGGAACGTTTATTTATTATTTTTAAAATAATAATGGATGAAATTTGTCGGTTATGTTGTTCTACAACTTTTGTAAACAATGATATATTTGACGAAGAGAACGCTCTTTACCTGAAAATGTCCTTATATTTACCTATAAAGGTATAGTTCATTAGCAAATTCGTACATTTTTTGTGTGAAATTTTAACCTATAATATAAACATGATATTTGTTGTTGTGTGTAGGTATTCAAAAACGATCAGTTACCTCAGAAGATCTGTGACAAGTGCAGTTGCAAAGTAAACGACTTCTATCAATTTTGCAATGAGACAATCGAAGTTCAAGCCAGGTAAGTGGAGATCTCAGAAATCCTATATAGTTGTTTTAAAAGGTACAAATGTTATCGTATTTTTATTTTATTACTTAGTTTAAAGTAGAAAGATAACTTTCATTATTAGTAAAGGTTATTAATAATTGTTTTTGATAGTTTCCTTACTTGGATTATCAATCATGTTATGTTTAATGTTTATTTTCAAAACAAATCAACAAACTCATCATTGTTTGCTACAGTGGAAATATTAAACACCTGAAGTCGTATATTATAATGTAAACATAATTTTAATAAATTTTTGTTAAATAATTGCAGGTTACGTGCCATCCTACGGTCTTCAGGGCCCTGTCATGATGAAACTATTGACCTGTCGCTTGTCAAGAACAGTACCTCCCCACCCCCAAATATGCATATTGAAAAACTCTGCGAAAGAAGCACTCAAACAGACACTAAAGAAGAAAGTAGTAAAAATGATGACAAACCAGTTCAAATCAAAGAAGAACCGATACCAAATATACCATCACCTGTTAAACAAGAAGAAGATAATTTTGATGATGATCTAGACTCTGATAACCTAGACCACAGATCTTCAGATAGTGAAGATATATCCCTTAAATCCCTTAAAATTAAAGCTAATAAGAAGTCTACTGTAAATGCTGAGGTGTCACAGAAGAGAGGTAGGAAAAAGAAGTCTGATTTACAAGGATGGGAAGCATTGATGGATGCATTACCCGGGGCAGCTTTATCTGTGGTGGATAGGAATAATGTTCCGGATTTGCAAGTGCAGGTTGTGAAGGAGGAGATGGAAGACCATCCGACTAATGCTGAGGGCTTATTGTTGGAGATGAATATTTTCCACTGCTGTATTTGTATGGTTAAATGTTACAGCAGAAGTGAGATGCTTCAACATTATAAGTATGTATTTTATTGGTTTACGTAATTTATGAGTTTTGTTTTCTTTCAACATTTAATTGAAGATATTTTGAAGAAAGAAGATATTTTTTACTTCTGCAGAACGTTACGTTCTGCAAAAGTAAAAAATATCTTCTTTATAGGATAGCATGATCAACGTTAGACTGCAAATCTTCTTTGGAACTGTTTCTTGTAGCAATCAGTTCCTTTTTGTTATTTCACCTGAATCAGCTGAATGTGTCACCCAATATCCTAGATCAATTTGCAAGGGGATAAATCTACAAGCAATAGAATGAATTAATATAGATTTATTTCAGAAAAAAATTGTTCCACAGTCTGTTACTAATATTTAAAACTTATTTGCTAATGTTAGTAGAAACTAGCTGGTGCTGGTGGGTTTGATTCCCTGAGTGGGGAAAAGTTTATAGGGTGTTTCTGAGAGGAAAAACAGCCTAAGTTACTTCTTATATAGACAAGCCTGGTAGTAAAGTATTACCAATTCGGTCAAACCATTTTGAAGATTACAGAGAACAAACAGGCAGACAGATAGACGGACAGACAGAAAAAAAATGTTTAAACTGGTTTTCAGGCATAGGCTATTATTATTGTAACATTACAAACAGACACTTTACTTTTTTTTTATTTGTAGAGATTAACCTACCAATAAAACTTTTCATAATGGGAGAACTCATTCTCCGAAACAGTTTTGGGGATTCTGTTATGATAATCTCTAATTCTTCTCAGTAATGAAGCTGTTTGTTGTTTGCTGAACTGAAGCAGAACAACAACTTGTGGATCACACAAAGTGTCGTCCCAGGGATCGAACCCACAACACTCAGCATAGTAGGAACGCTTGCTCAGCATAGTAGGAAGGCGGGGTGACCGATTAAACCACTACACCATCCATTAAATCTATTGTAATTAATTACAAAGTAATCTGTTGGTAATTGTTAATTAAATAATGAATTACAGACAGACAGGACACTATTTAAAACAGTTTTTCATGTAATTGTTTCCAGACAGCATGCCAGTGAGTCAGTAGCGAGTGATCCTCCCGCGGCACCGGCGCCGCCTGAACACGAGCCTCTCCGATGCACCCGCTGTCGAAAGGTACGACATCTGTTAACATAATACATTTTTTTTAATAATAATAATATATATCACACATTTCACACACGGCCGTCTGATCCCAAACTAGGCAGATCCTGTACTATGGTAACCAGACTGCTGATAAACACACTTATATATTTCTAAATACATACATATTATAGATATTAGTACACCCAGACATAGAACAAATGACCGTGCTTATCACACAATTATTTGTTCTGGGTGGGCAGTCATGATCACTAACCACTAGCCTCACAGACCAGTTGATATATATATATTCAGTAGTACACATGCCTCTCTCTTGTTGTGCAATCCTCTCTTCACTCTTAGGTTTGCTGGAAGAGAACTCAATTATGGGTTAAGCTCTGTGCCCACTATTCCTTAATATATTTTTATTCTGTAAATGTTTATATTGTGTAAGAACGTTATAACACATCTCGATATAAAAAGTTTTACATTCTACCCCTGTATGACCGTAGACATATTGCAGACATTATCCAATATCGCCAATGGTTCAGTGGAGTGCCCAGAGTTGTTGGGTAAGACAGGATTAGTAATACATTCCAAAGGTCGCGGGTTCGATTCCCGCTCAAGTCAAACATTTGTGTGCATGAACATTTGATGTTTGATTTGGTCTGGGTGTTTCTATGTATAATATGTATGTATTTACAAAAAAAAAAAGTATATATGTATTTATAATATTTATATCAGTTGTCTAGTACCCATAGTACAAGCTCTGCTTAGTTTGGGACTAGATGGCGTTGTGTGTATGTGGTAGAATATTATTATTATTTTTATTATTAATCCTGCGCAATCCAAGTCTTTTGTAAATTCCTTGCGTAAAGAGTACATATAGACAAAAATTCATTTTTAATACCCGCAAGTAGACAATAAAATAAAATTTTATCTCAATATGAAATAGACCTATATGGTACCAGTATTTCTGAAATTAAAAACATTTTAGCTAAGATTTTTTTTGATTGACTACGGGTGCTGGCTTTGTATTTGTTTACTGACTTCCAATTTAATGTTACGCGTGTATTTCTAATCGTGGATATTTGTAAATGGCCGTCAGACGTTCATGTATTGTATCTTATGTTTTTAAAATGCTAGCTGTAATTGTCCCAAACAGAGAAAAAAAATCAGTTGTCTGTAAAGTCGGTTTACTGACGATAGTTGAACGTGACAACGTCATAAGAAAATACTGATGGAATGGTTGCATTTTTCAAAAATGTATTATTGTATACGAGTAGCAGCTGTCCACGCGGACGCATCGCTCACTCAAGTAGGAGAGAGACAGATATCGAACGCTGCCGAACGCGGAGGCCGATTGTGCCTCTTTGTCGCTCGTTCCGCGCTCTCGCTTGCACTTCACGCCTTAAATGGAACGCCTCAGAGCGAGGTAATGCCGCATGAGTCATGTTTAATCGTGCGTGCAGCCGGCTCCATCGAATTATAAGACGTTGTCACGTCTAAAAAAAAATAAGTAGTCACAGTGTGTATGAGCCTATCTCCAGATAGTAAGTCACGGTGAGTGGGCTGGCCACTGGCAGCGGCACTGGGAGCGCGACCGGCGGCCCTACCGCTGCGCGCTCTGCGAGAAGACCTTCCGGGACGCGCACCAGATACTCAAACATGGTAATCTATTTACTTCCACTATTTACACATACACAGCCGTGTGGTGACGGATTAGGAAAGAATATGGAGTGTCAATACCCCTATTCATCCCCTGGGTGTCGTAAGAGCCGACTAAGGGAGCAAACTACGCCGGACAACAACACTGCAAAGAGAAGGAATACTTGAAACAAACCCTATACCAACCCATCTGGCCAGCATAGTATAGTAGGCTAAAACCTCATTTCTAAGGAGACGCCTATGTCCAGCAGACGACCATTAAAGGCTGTTGATGATTATGATTTACACATACAAACATACACTTCGGCTTTTATCCCCCGAAGGTTACAGGTGACCATGGCTGGCGGGCCCCGTCCAATTGGCTTACGTTGTGATGTTGCATATATGCTAATTGGCGTGAGAACTTATCATATCGAGATACAGGATTTACAGTTATTCCGTAGCTCGGTGTGTCTTCGATAGATGGCACTGCAGTGTGTTTTTGTTTCATTGTATGTGATTTCAGAACTTTTATTTTTTTAAGGTACGATTTTATTTTTTTTAAACGAACAGACGGGTCACCTGATGGTAAGTGACTACCGTCGCCCATGGACACCTGCAACTGAAGAGTCACAATTGCGTTGTCCCCTTTTTCAATCCCTCCCCCAGAATTTGTTCCCACTCACACACACACACACACTGTAGTTTCATCTTTTTTAGATACCTCCGCTTACTACTATGGTAAATGTTTTGGGTTCGATCTCATGGGACGACACTTTGTGTGATCCACAGATTGTTGTTCTGAGTCTGGGTGTTCTTAGTGTCCTTCGTGTATGTTTGTAAAGTCCCCTGAGACAGGATATATTCCTGATGCGTGAGTTGTCTTTAAAAAATAAATGCGTAAATAAAATAACTGCGTTCTACGTGATGATTTGCAGGTATAACACACAATCACGGCGAGGGTGCGGCGACGGAGCCAGTGGACAAGCGATTTGTGTGTGACCTGTGCCCCGAAGGTTTTGTCTACATGAGGTGCGTATAAAAATTTAACAGGGATGTTCTGATGTTCTCGAAACTACATTTATTTTATACATAGCTTACGAAAAACATACTTGAAGATAAAATTATAGTTTAAAAAAAACTAAAAAACACGCTTTCTATAGTAAACCAAACTAAAAAATTGAAAATAAATTTGAAAAAAAGCGTTGGGTGCCTGCTGTCAATAGTAAAAAGCACCCAGTGTTTTTTAGTTTTTTAAAACTATATTTTTTCTCTTCAAGTATGGTTTTTTTGGTCAGTCAAAATCACGCCCAAAGGAGTCGGTTACAAACATACAAACAAACATACAAGTGAAGCTAATATAAAGCGTGTAAAAAAAAATTACTTTTAAAACTACCCGCTAAAACGTTATAGATTACGTCACTGACCGATAGTTCTCGTATTACAACTCAAATGCCCTAGGTACAGACATTGTTTTTATTTAAATATTTTAGTAGGCCCCACCACCAGGTGGTCCGACGACCTAGTGAAGGTTGGATGCGGGCAGCACAGAACCGGTTGTTGTGGCGATCTTTGGGGGAGATCTATGTCCAGCAGTGGACGACTTTTGGCTGAGATGATAAATATTTCCAAATGTTTGTTTGCACCACGAAATTCTACAGCACCCCAAGTTTGACTGGTAAAGCATGATCTATGCCTTAAATTCGCCTTTGTATGAATGTTTATGGAAATTTTAAATATGTTTTTGGTTAAAATCTATGCAAAAAATTATGGTTTTTATCAGCTTATTTTATTTATTCATTGCCAATCGAGTAACAAAACTCATAGTGTTAGTAACCGATACCTAACATGGCACGTAGAAAGTTGGCAACACCGGTTTAATTAGAAATCGTAGAAAAAAATCGCTATGGTTGTATCGTTGTAAGTGACATGTGTAATTAATAATATATCTGACAATATACGAGTATGCCTATGTCCAATAAAAAATTGTTCAACTTTATCTAGCGTGGACAAACTGAACTATATAGTAACTGCTGATCCTGAATACGTAATAAAGTGCGATATTTAGGATTAACCTGTTGTTCACTACGTTTGATTACTTAGTTTTTTCCTAAGCGTTAGAGAGACATGACACCTTTTCAAATTAATTACAGATCGTTTTTGAACTGTTTGTTCTTTTATATTAAAATTAATCTTCACAAGAAGTTAACAGAATAATAGAAAGAGAAACCTTTTTTTAAATATTGGTGGTAACCACAGTACGACGGGCGCTAAGCTGAGATTTCTTTCTTCCTTTTTGTAAACAATTAATAACATATGTAATGTGATATACGTGTACATTATATAAAATAGTGCTTATCTGTGAAGACCTTTAATTGGCTAAATGTTGTATATTATTGTTACTATTTCGATGTTAAAACTGTTGGCTTCCTTAAAATAAAAAAAAATCTTGTAAAGCATTCGATTGCTTAGATAAATCTTTAAAGGTAGATGTCGTATTTATGGACATCAACGAAGCTATTGCTCGAGCAGAACAAAAAGATTTTTCTGATTAAACTCAAATGAAGCCTTCTTTGTATGTCTCGGTGAGGTTAAGTTTGTTTCGTGAGACAAGGAGTGCCACAGGGGTGTACAGCGGGCCCTCCCCCTGCGCAGGTACCTGCTGTCGCACCGCACGCGCGCGCACCCCGAGGCGGCTGGTCGCGCGCTGACGCTGCGCTGCGGGCAGTGCGCGCGCCACTTCGCGCACATCAACTCGCTGCGGCGCCACCTGCGCGCGCACTCGGGCGAGCGCAACTTCCTGTGCAACGTGTGCGGCAAGGCGCTCAGCTCGCGCGAGCACCTCAAGTTCCACATACGGATACACACGGGCTACAAGCCCAACGTCTGCAAGTGAGTGCGAGATACCGTCTACCGTTTCTGTCAAAAGTTCATTACGTTCCTAACCGATCTGTCGACTAACAACCGAAAAGTTTTTGTTTAGTATATCGAAAGAGGAATAGGATCTGTTAGAAAGATTTGGCTAAAGATATGTCAAACTGTATAACGTCTAGAGTATTGTCCCATGTGGAAATTGAACGCGCAACACTGAGCGCTGGAGGAAGCGGCGAGGTGACCGTTTAAACCACTACGCCATCCGTGCAGTCTGGCCAATTGGTCTAACGATTAGTGACTGCTAAGCCGTAAGTTCGACTCCCACCCAGGACAAATAATTAGGTGATAAGCTCAATCATTTAGAAATACATAAATATGTTTATCAACAGTATGGTTACCATAGTACAGGACCTATCTAGTCTGAGACCAGACATGGGATGTGAATTCTTATTCTTTAGTGACCGACTGATGCAAAATTTGGACGCAATTGTTTTCCAGGACATGTGGCAAGGGCTTCGTGAAGAAGTGTAACCTGACGCTGCACGAGCGCGTGCACTCTGGGGAGAAGCCGCACGTGTGCTCGCACTGCGGGAAGGCCTTCAGTCAGCGCTCCACACTCGTCATACATGAACGGTTACTTATTATTTAATCTATCTAATCTACGATTTTCATAATTTTTATATTTTCCAGCCCAATTTTAGATAAAAAACTGTGGGAACGATATATAAAAAAAAAGCGAAAAGTAGAATTTCAGAATCGTAAACTAATATTCGATGCACGGATGGCGTAGTGGTTTAAGCGGTCGCTACGCCGCTCACCACTACGCTAAGTGTTGTGGGTCCGACCCCCACATGGGACAACACTTTGTGTGATCCACAAATTGTTGTTCTGAGTCTGGGTGTTCTTTATGTCCGTTTCATGTATGTTTGTAAAGTCCCCCGCGACACAGGATATATTAATAATGCGGGAGTTGTCTTTTAAAAAGAATAAAAAAAAGACGTGTGGCACTCGGGGACTGCCGCGGTAAAGCTATTGCATATCATTTTTTATCAACTTATGCAATTATAATTATTTATTAATTTTATTTATGCAGTATTTTTTTCTTTAATATTAATTCAAGTTACACTTTTTGAGCGTGGTGACCGATAAGAAAACATTTTTTTTTTCTTTTATTAAATAAATGAGAAGTTAATATTGTTCAAAATATTTTTATTATCTTACAATACATGTAGGTTATTCAGGAATATTTATCATTGAAACTATAGGTTTATGGTAACTGAAATAAGAAACATAAGTTTGAGACTTGATATCTTCTAAATATCTGGAAAATACCGCGTCACAACCAATACCGCCTAGAGGCGAGTTGCTGAACTAAAGAGACAAGCGTGATATTTCAAAAAGTCATTAAAAGTTCTGCTATTCATCGATAGATGGCAAAACTAAAAAGTATCACCGCTGTGCCGGTCGGAGTGGCGGGTGTTAGGTTATTTTCGTTACGGAATTTCTGGATTCGGTCTCCACGCTCAAGGCCCGCGATAGAAGCTATGCAATAGCTTAAAAGAATAAGAATGTTGTAAGTTACTGCTACTCTTGCGCTGAGTATTGTGGGTTCAATCCCCACATAGGAAAACTCTTTGTGTGACACACAAATTGTCTGGCTGTTCTTTGTGTCCGTTTCATGTACGTTTGTAAAATTCCCGGCTACAAAGGGTATATTCTTAATGCGGGAGTCGTCTTTAAAAGAAATATTTTCCTAAACTTGCCGTGGACTAATGTAAGTGACTTAACTTTATTGTAAAGCAACCAGTTGAAGCCAACTGCACATGATCATCGGCCTATCGCAGTCCTCTGCTGGAAATAGACCTCTCTCATTGCACGCCACTTAGATCGATTTTAACTAACTAACTACACCACCACCAACAGCCTATAATAGTCCACTGCTGGACATAGGCCTCTCCTTAGAAAGGAGGTTTTGGCCTACTATACCACGCTGGCCAGACGGGTTGGTATAGGGTTTGTTTCAAGTTTTCCTTCTCTTAGCAGAAACAACTACAAAAACTACATAATAGATTGAAATTGTAACCTACGAAATATCTGTAGTTTCATTAAAAAAACTAAATGAATAAAGATATGGACGACCTGGGTTTATAAAGTGAGTGGTGTGTTGCAGTTACCACAGCGGCGCCCGGCCCTACGTGTGCAGCCTGTGCGGCCGCGGGTTCGTGGCCAAGGGTCTGCTCTCCATGCACCTCAAGACTACCTGCATATAGCACCAGCTCACCACTACGCACTGTAGTGTACGTACCTATGGTGGGTAGCTTTCAACAATAATAAAAGATTTACATACAATTTAGAACATAAAAATAAATAAATAAATAAATAAGTTGACAATAAAAATGATATAAACGAGAAACAGAAATATACAGATTTTTAGGAACTTAAACCCAAGATTGTTAATATACATTTAGGTAAATTAATACACACAAAAATAAACATCATCATCATCAACAGCCTTTAATAGTCCACTGCTGGACATAGGCCTCCCCTTAGAAAGGAGGTTAAAATAAACATACATTACATGTATTAAATATTCTTTATTTGTATTCACGGTGTAACGAATACTGAAATAGTGTATTCAGACTATTATTTTGAGTCTAAAATCATTGGAATTTTCTGCAGGAAAATTAAACTTCTTATGCAATCAGCTGTCAAAGGTTTAGGTCATTCCCCGTAGGTATCGCACAAAAGTAAGAACTACATGTGTATTCGGTGCAAACAGTCTACGCACGCTAACACAAAATGGCGGCCGGAGGGAAGGCTTCGGCTGTTTGATTAATTACATTGCAGTTTTTTGGTATTTATTAAATAGTTTTCGGTAAAACGTTCTGTCTACTCATTGTGATATCATTTTTCATCATTTTTAACCCATTAAGAAAATTAAAAAAAGATGAATTGAATGTTTTTCGACTCAGAATCATGGTACATGTAAATCCTTTAAAAATAAGTTGATCCGACTTCACACAATACTAACAAAGAGCACTAAAAACCTAGCAGCATCGCGGTTGATTTGCTGTCATTTTTGAAGAGTTCCGTTGTCTGTCTCCGAAACTCATCAGCAGATCAAAACAAGCGAATTGATAACTTCCTCCTTTTTGAAGTCGGGATACCGAGGGTACCGTATAAACTTTTATGTGGGTAATGCGTCGTTCTCGGGGGTTGAACTGAATTGTGCAGAGAATTAATGTACAAACTAATCAAATTAATAATCATATCAGTTTTAAGCTAAAAAAATTATGCCAATGACTATATTAAAAAATGTTTTTTTAATTATTTGTTAACTAGCTGGTGCCCGCGGCTTCGTTCGCGTGAAATTTGAAAAGCGTTGCCTTAGTAAGTTCGATTCCCGGACCATGCAAAATTTTATAGGGTTTTTCTGAGAGAAAAAATGGGCTAAGTTACTTTTTATATAGACTGCTACTTACGACAGGTGGTAAAATATTATCAAAATAAGTCTAGGCGTTTTGAAGATTACCCGGAACAAACAGACAGACAGACAAACCAAAAATATTTAAACTGGTTTTTAGGCATAGGTATCGTGTAATAACCGTGTAAGTATAAAAAGACCTATTATTTTAACATTACAAACAGACACTTCAATTTTATTTATTTGTTTGCACAATTTTTTGTCCTAAATAATCGAAAAAAATTGCCAGTTTTGTTTCAAAGTTAACTTTGCCGTCCTAAAAATTATTCCCCAATACATCGGTATGGGTTCAGTAAATTTGGCAACCAGAAAGTATAGGTATTTGTAAATTGCAAAAAAAAAAACAACTTCTTAATATTTTACATCGAATTCGTCTGAAAGTGTAATCTGACGTCACAAAAAAAGCGCGCCAAAATGGACGTGTTCAAATTGCCCCAAAATGATAGTGATTTTAATAAATTTTTTTTTGCTTTACGGTGCTTACGCAGAACAAATATTTGTGTGATGAGCACGTTCATTTGTTCTGTGTCTGGGTGTAATTTATCTATAATATGTATGTATTTAGAAATATATAAGTATGTTTATCAGCAGTCTGGTTACCATAGTTTGGGCTGCCTAGTTTGGGATCAGACGGCCGTGTGTGAGATGTGTGAGGTTATTATTATAGTTTTTTTTTCTATTTGAGGATCTGAACTCTTAAATTTAAAATTCTTTTCATTAAAGTGCCTTCTTGTATGATCAATTATTGATTTTTGGTTTAATAAAATCTTATAAACACCTCCAACTGTGTTAAAGTCTACAAATAACATCATCACATCATCATATCATCATCAACAGCCTTTCATAGTCCACTGCTGGACATAGGCCTCTCCTTAGAAAGGAGGTTTTGGCCTACTACACCACGCTGGCCAGACGGGTTGGTATAGGGTTTGTTTTGGCTCGATGGCCTCCTTGGCCGGAGACGACGGGGAGCACGGGGAGGATAATGTTCCGCCCGTTCGGGAATCGGAGGTAGGGGCGGCTGTTCTACGGATCCGTTCCAAGAACACCGCCCCTGGGCCAGACGGGGTACCGGCCCGAGTGCTGGCCCTGGCCCTCAACCACATGGCAGACCGCCTCGGGGAGGTGTTCGACGCTAGCTTGGCGTCGGGACGCTTCCCTGAGTGCTGGAAGAGCGGGAAGCTGGTCCTATTGAGGAAGCCGGGACGGCCTGCCGATTCGGTCGCGGCCTATAGGCCCATCGTGCTGCTGGACGAGGCGGGCAAATTGTTTGAGAGGGTTCTTTCTGCCCGCATCGTCCGGCACCTCTGCGAGGTGGGCCCCGATCTGTCGGACGCCCAATTTGGTTTTCGGGCGGGGCGTTCGACAGTCGACGCCGTGTTGCGCCTGAGGGCCGTGACCGAAGAGGCCGTGAGCTGTGGCGGCGTGCTGTTGGCGGTGTCACTGGACATCGCCAACGCATTCAATAGTCTGCCATTCAGCTGCATCAGGGAAGCACTCCACTATCATGGGGTGCCAAAGTACCTGAGGCGGCTGGTGGCAGACTATTTAGAGGAGCGTACCGTCGTGTACGAGGACCGAGAAGGTAATTTGAGGTGTCGGCCCATGTCGTGCGGTGTTCCACAGGGGTCTGTTCTTGGACCCCTCTTGTGGAACATAGGGTACGACTGGGCCCTTCGCGCCGATTTCCCCCCCGGGCTGGGTGTAATCTGTTACGCAGACGATACCCTCGTGACAGCCCGGGGGGCAAACTTCCAAGAGGCGGCGCGCCTGGCCACAGGGGGAGTCTCCCTGGTGGTCGGGCGCATTGAGGCGCTGGGCTTACGGGTGGCCCTAGATAAGACGGAGGCCCTGTTATTCCATGGGCCCCGTCGTGGTCCACCCCCTGGCGCCTCAATCGTGGTCAACTCGGTCCTCGTACCGGTTCGGGCCCAGATGAAATATCTGGGCCTGATCCTCGACGGGAGGTGGCTCTTCGACGAGCACTTCCGACAGCTTGCTCCAAAGCTGGTCGGCGCTGCGTCTGCCCTAGGGCGACTCTTGCCCAATATGGGTGGACCCAGCGTCGCGACAAGACGGCTGTACACGGGGGTTGTCCGGTCAATGGCGCTGTACGGTGCACCGGTGTGGGCGGCGGCTCTGACCGCCCAGAATAGGGTACGCCTCTGGCGTCCTCAGAGGGTAATGGCGGTCAGAGCCATACGCGGTTACCGCACCGTTTCTACGGAGGTGGCATGCGCGTTGGCCGGAACTCCCCCGTGGGATTTGGAGGCGGAAGTGCTCGCCGAAGTTTATCGGCGAGTGGCTGACTCCCGGGCGGAGAGCGGATTTCGCCCTCCGCCCGAGGATGTGCGCGAGTGGCGCGAAGCCGCTCGCCGAGCCACGATGGCTCGTTGGTCGTTCCGGCTGGAGACTCCACGCGCTGGCTTCGCCGCCGTGGAGGCTCTCCAGCCGGTCATCGCCGAGTGGGCAGGGCGGCAGCACGGGACCCTTTCCTTCCGGCTGACGCAGGTGCTTTCCGGGCACGGTTGCTTCGGAAAGTACCTGCACACGGTCGCTAGGAGGGAACTGAGTCCCGCCTGCCACCACTGCGACTGCAGTGAGGACTCGGCCCAGCACACGCTGGCGGTCTGCCCCGCATGGGCGGCGCAGCGCCGGGCCCTCACTGCAGTCATCGGAGTGGATCTCTCGCTACCGGCCGTAGTACGCTCCATGGCCGGTAGCGACAGTTGTTTTTCCGCGGTCGCAACCTTCTGCGAGGTAGTAATCTCGCGGAAGGAGGCGGCGGGGAGGGCCCGGGAGGACGACCTCCACTCGGACCCGATCCGCCGCCGGCGAACCGGGCGGCGGAGGCCCGCCTCCCACAGCCTCATGCCGCCCTGAGTGTGGCCGCGGGTGGACGGGGTGGGTTTCCCCTCCACCCGCATTAGTTTGGCCAGCCGCGAGGGGGCGGCGTCCGCGTGTGCCGGACGTCGCCTAAAGAGAGGAACATCAACATTGAGACGGAGCCCGCACCAGGAGCGGGCTGGCGCTAGGAGGGGTCCGGATGTCTTAACAACAGCTGTTCCCGGATCCCTCCTGTTACAGGCGCAGAGTGGCACACCGTGTGGTTTTAGTCGGTCCGAGTCCGACACACCACCCCGCCGTAACCCCGGAGGGGTGACGGTCCGAGGGGATTTCCACACGTAAAAAAAAAAAAAAAAAAAAAGGGTTTGTTTCAAGTTTTCCTTCTCTCTGCAGTGCTGTTGTCCTGCGTAGTTTGCTTCCTTAATCGCCTCTTATGACACCCACGGGATGAATAGGGGTGGTGACACTCTGTATTCTTAATCCGTCACCACACGATCGAAGTCTGCAAATACAAGTTTTAAATCAAATAAAATTCTTTGTACGAATTGTTTTCGATATTTTAACATTTATTGCGACGCAAACTAAGATGTTTTGTTTCTAAAATACACAAAATGAGCACTTCGGTGTTATATTTTGGCATTTCGGCTTTGTAATTTCGAAACCAGAAAAAAAACGGATCGTAACTTACAAAGGGTCGATTTGTAGCGTCAAATTGTGTTAAAAGCCTTAGATATAGGAATTTATAATTCAAAAAAAAAAATTAATTTTTTTTTCAAAGTGTAAACATATTGATGAGATAATTTTAATATACATAGAATTTCCTAAGCCACGAATATTTATAGCGAATGATAAGGGTTAGTCTAGATCGGTACAAAAATTTCAGGTAAAGTAATAACAACAAAAAAAAGTTCTGAATACAGTATAAAACAAATACTTTCA